CTGATCAAAAATACGTGACATTTTAAATAATATACTTTGCATTTAATTTGTTGCTATTATTTTTAATGTGCATTTATTATTTTTACTGTGCATTTTTTATTTTACTGTGCATTTATTATTTTTACTCATGAAAACACTTTGCATTTAATTTCTTGCCAATAACAAACGTTCAGTAACTTTAATCAAAATTAGTAAAATGACGTAAAATTTCAGGAATGTGTTTAATTTCAGTCTTGGTTACATATCAATGGTGTGCAAGAATAATATTATTTTACTGAGCAATTACAATCATTTTTTCAGCAGTGCTTATCATTGCCTTGTTTTTTATTTTGTTAATGAGGAATTATTATTTTGTGTTATACTGGATATTCATTATTTTTACTGTGCATTTATTATTATTTTTTTAAAGTTTATTTATTTTTACTAAACATTCACTATTTTTAATGAAAAAAAATAGATGATATTAAGTAAAATAGAATACCCTGCATTGAATTCAAATTAAAAAAAAAAACAAGTTTTGTCAATTGTGTATTTTTTCTAATTTGATAAATTGATAAAAAAATCTCTGGACCGACCTTTAAAAATTATTCAAATATTACTTTGCGTTCTTTATTTATTAAAATTTTCCTATTTATTTCATGGATTAAAATAGAATAGTTTGACCTTGACACCACTTGCCCCTACCCTAATAAAAACACACCCTCAACATTTCAATTCCCCTCTAATCTCGCATGAATAAGGTTTTTGTTTCGATAGTACAACAAGGGTGTAGGAATATAAAATAGAGGTAGTTTTCATCTATTTTAAATAATTGAATTAATTATGTTGTTACCCTTGAATCATTAATATCCGTGAACCATTAGTTTCATAATTATTATTATACATCTGTGCACATCCCGACGATAACAGAATTAAAAAAAAACATAAAATTTAAAGCCGGTAATATTATTCTTGTTATTTTCAATGATATCGATATCGTTATTTTTAATAATGTAATTGCACATTTTCTCTTTACGTTATCAAAATACTTTCCTAATGATTAAGACGAGAAATAAGTGTTGATACTTTTGTTTCAGTGGCAGACTGAACCATTTACTGTAAAAGTATTACAACAGTTGAACGACGAACCAAAAGTGATACTATCATCGATGAAAAATGTGACCAAAAGGTAATTTAATTTGATGTTTTTGGCCCCCTCACCAACACTATACATGACTTATGCAAAATTTATCTCTTAATAAGATAAACACAAGCGAGATGATTAATGAATACCATTAAAAAAATCTTTAAGAATGAAATAAATTTACAAGATTGATTTTTATTTCAGAACAGAACTACAGTCTGATGCCAATGACCACAATGTACCAGATCTGTGTGACGGAAACTCCATCGAATATTGTCACGAAGAAATAATTTATACTAGTGAAACAACTGTAAAACTACCAGATGATGATTTTTTCTTTGATATTGAGGAAAATCCCAACAATGTAAATAAACACGATGTTGAAAAAGAGCTTCATATGATGTTCCAAGATGTTATCGAAGAAGAGGAACCAATAAAAAAATCTCCACCACCACATCGTGAAAAACGCAATAAGTCTAGAAAATCAACACGTAAACTCTTAATCGAACTATTCGGAAGTCCATTACACGATATTATTGAGAAAAAACCACAAAAAATCCAAAATCATCGAAGACAATCACTACCAGTCTCAATTAATATTACCGATGATATTTTTAAACCTGTGAAGCGAAAAAGTGAAACAGACATACATAATTTAAGTTTATGTAAAGTGCAAAAAACGGTTAAAGTTCCAGTGTTTGCAAATTCGGAAGTGTTTAACGTTGATTATCTCACTGTTACGAAACTAAATATACCACCAACATATTCCGAAACTGCCACACTTAAACTCACACTTGAAGAAATGAAAATCGCCACAATTATGACTAAACCTAATTTGGGCAAAACTCAACAAGTGACCAATACTCACATCATTGATCTGACTCAGGATAATACCAATCTTGATTCGATAAAATACAATAACACTGAAATCAAGGCCGAATCAAGCACAAATGGTTTATCAATGCCTTCTTTATCACCAACAACTCCGGATCAACCGATAAGAACAGAAACTGTTATCTGTGAAAGGAAAACCACATCCTCTCCTAAAAAGGTGGTTCATAATGCACAGCGGAGACCAAATGATGGTAGAGTGTATTCGAAACCCAACGTTAAAATGAGTCCTCAACAACAACAACAACCAACAGTTCAAAAGTCGATTTTAGAGCAGTTGACAGAATGGGGGAAAAACCAACAATCACAATCAAGAGTCAGTGTGCCAAATCAACATTTGCCACAAAAGAGAGTCAGTGTGCCAAATCAAAAACATTTGCCACAAACGAGAGTTAGTGTGCCAAAACAACAACCACAACAACATTTATTCCCGCCACAATTACTGAGACTTCACCAAGTCACACAACCGTTTGGATATCACCTGGTATCTAATAGCACTTGTGGTGAAAAAATTTTTCCATACGTTTACAAGTTTTACATTTGGAAACAAAAACTAGCCCAATTAGTTAAACTAAATGAAAGTATATTCTCAACAGATGAGTTGAAAGACAATTTTGATGCACTTTATGTTTACTATGATACAGCAAGACGGAACCTTGCTAGAAGATTGATCAAAGAATTATTACCTCTAGATGTGCAATTTTTTTCTTTGAGTCAAATCCTGAGTACAATATCGTTCAAAATGAGCGATATACATGTCGAAGGGGGCATTTACCGTATTTGTTTTTTAATACATAGTATCATTGATGGATGTGAGGAGGTTTGTCTCACACCATTTACTAAAAAATTCTATAATAATATTAAATCATCAAAGGAAAGGATGGATGAACGTTCACGTGAAGGTAAGAAAAAAAAAAACCTAATTAATTTCACACACTAGATAATTCAAATAATTAGTTTCAGTATTTACTAGTTTGCAATTAAAACAACTCGAAAGACAAATCCGAGAATACCATTCGATACAAAATTGGATCCAAAATTGGATCCAACAAGCAAATCGTAAAACAAATGCACCAAACAAAAGAAAAGCAACTGTGATACTAAACGATCAAAATTTTGAACAACAACCTAAACGAAATGATAAATTGATCTTGCCAAAGGTTTTGGTACCACCACCAAATGCTGAAATGCAATCTGGTCAAAAGTCACAACCTCGAGAGACGTTTCGCAAGCCACAGAATTTGTCGCGACCACAAACGGGTCTTTTGTCAAATGGACAAGAACCAAATTTCGCGTTTTCGGTACCACAAGTACCAAATGTTCAGGTGGCTAAAACGACGTCACAGGAAACGGTACCAAACCCGAATCTTCGATCTTTGTTAAGTACCCAAACTAGTGTTGGGTCAGTATCGAAACCCCAAGTACCTGATACTACTGTGCAATCAACAGAAACCAAAGAGTCTAGCGACGAAGCGAAGAGTGAGGAAGTGATCGATTTAACATGGATTGATAATGCGGACGAGAAGGAAATCTACGATGAAATAATCGAGTGTAAAGTGTTTGAGTTTAAGGATGAGATTGAGAAAAAAGAGATAGATCGAGAAGTAAAATTTTGTTTTTTGTTTTTTTTTTTTTCATTGTTTTAATTTAATGTTGTAGGTTATTTCACCGGTTGATAGTGGTTTAGGGAGTCCAGTTTTGCAAACAGATGATGGTTTTAAATGTCTTTGTGGTAATAAAGCCATCTTTGTTTGTGCATGTCAATCGTCAATGTATTGCAGTCAGAACTGTCAAGTAAGTTGAGAAAAATTCAAGTTGTGGTATTCTAATATTATTTTTTATGTAGATAAACGACTGGGCGTACCACCAAAGACTTTGCAATAAATTGATTAATTGAACTACAGTATTAATTTGTTATTTGAATTCTTGTTATTTTATTCAAGATTATCTAGTTGGTATTTAATCTTGTTGATTACTTTAGTATTTTTCCATATTTTTGTACTTTCTTACGGATTTACCATGTTGAATAAACTGTTTGTTCTTCATTTGAAGGAACTAAAGTCTTCCAGGCTTCCATTCCTTAGGTATGCACCACCACTATGTCCTTGTGTCTGTTCTTGAAGCATCTCCAGAGTCCATACCTCGTTTCCCAGTCCTCAAAGAACAAGTCGGGCTTATTCCACAATACGTGGTGTTGCGCATATTTGTATTTAATTTTCAAGGGTGGGTTCAAATGTGGTGCAAAATTAGCCCTCTTGTCAATAATCGAATCGACGTAATCATAAAACACTGATGCTTTGTGGATGTAGCAAACAAGGGACATTATTGAGACTACTGTGGCGTGGAGACGATGAGCATGAGTCATTTGTATGGTTTTGCTCTCGAGAGCTGCTTCTTGTATGGACATTGCCAAACAAACAGCTGCTGCGGCCGTGTACCCACATGGAATCTCCACCAAGAACAACACGATCGAAACGTAAATATTCTCCAAGTGGATCCTGAAAAAACATTAAAAACAAATAATAGAGAAATGAGCTGTAAAATGGTGTTAATTGGTGTCCTATCTCTACTGATAAGAATTTTACAGACCTCCGGCAGTTGGCACTAACGCATTTTTTCCAAATAAGTAGGATAAGGAAAGTCGTGTGATGTTCACACCAGATTTTTTTCTCATATTTCTCGTGAAAAATTTAGTCGTTCGTTTTTCGCAGCTTTGTAAGAATGTAAAGCTCAACATTTTTGCATTTTTTTCAAGTAATTAGTGGGGAAGTTGAATTTAAATTAATTTAAATACTGTGAAATAGTACATTTTGCAAGACGTTTCGACGCTTTTTTAGGCATTCAAACATGACAAAATTTAGTTAATAGAATGCGAAGACGAATGCTTAGAAAATAACGGTTATTATAAAAAATATTAATGTTTATAATGTAAATAAATTAAATATTAAACGTAAATATTTTTTTAATGGTGTTAATTTAAATAATAACTCGTGTCCTATCTCTACTGATAAGAATTTTACAGACCTCCGGCAGTTGGCACTAACGCATTTTTTCCAAATAAGTAGGATAAGGAAAGTCGTGTGATGTTCACACCAGATTTTTTTCTCATATTTCTCGTGAAAAATTTAGTCGTTCGTTTTTCGCAGCTTTTTAAGAATGTAAAGCTCAACATTTTTGCATTTTTTTTCAAGTAATTAGTGGAGAGGTTGAATTTAAATTAATTTAAATACTGTGAAATAGTACATTTTGCAAGACGGTTCGACGCTTTTTTAGGCATTCAAACATGACAAAATTTAGTTAATAGAATGCGAAGACGAATGCTTAGAAAATAACGGTTATTATAAAAAAATATTAATATTTATAATGTAAATAATTTTTTTTGACTTGTTTATATTTCATTTTAGTTTGCTACTATTTACCGAAAATAAAAATAATTTTTAAAAATTTTGGTAAATAATTAATTAAGACACAATTAAGTACGAAAATCTCAAGGCAAAGAAGTAGCTTAAAGTTATAACTGTAAGTAATAAAATGAGAATTGCTGTTTTTTTGTAATAAGAGCACATTAAAACTTATTTTGTATAATCTAAACATATACTACTCCAAACAAAAATTTTTTGGTGATTTTTGAAAGGTTGTAACTCATCAAAAATGGTCGTATCTAGATTTTAAATGAAACCATTTTGAAACTTTCAGTTTCTAGTTTTGAGATCTTTTGGTAAATGTTTTTTCTGTGCTACGGTTATCACGCAATTTTAAGTAATAGCGCGAGCAAAAAAATTCTAAATTTTTTTGGTCCACAGACGTGGAAATTTTTTTTTAGCATAAACTTTTAAGATCCCCTTATGATTTTTGGAAAATATTTTCTTTCACCTTTGACACTGATTTAAAGAAAAGGGAAAAAAGTAAGTTTTTGCGTGTTCACCAATATTGATGGGGAGATTAATGCTTTTAGGTGTTTTTACAGTTCAGAGTATCCCCCACAACCCTGGTAATTTTTAAATCGATCTATCAAACCTTTTTTTGGACCCATTGATTAAAGTTTTGCAAAAGAATTAGGAACAATTATCCATATTATTTCTGAACATCATCTGATATTCGCCAAGATGAGAAAAACAATTTTTTTAGTTTTTATTTACAATTATGCATTAAATTCGAAAAAAAGTTCAAAAAAATATTTTTTTTTCAAAAATTAATCTATTGTTTCTTGAATTTTCTTACAATACCAAAAACAAAACAAAAATTTAGAATTTTATTTTCTCGCTCTATTACTTATAACTAAGGCTGGGAGTATATGCAAAATGCATATTTGTTATTAAGAGGTACATCAACAAAATTGTAAGTTTTCTATGCATATCTAATGTTTTTTTATTAAAATAAGCCAAATAAAAAATGCATATTTGTGCATATTTTCTTCAAATCACAAATTTTTGATTAAAAATTTCAGTTTAAATTAAAAATTAGACAGTTTAAGAAAAAAGATCCGATTACAAAATATTTTAAAGAGAAAACAACCGGTAATTCGTAAGCCAAACTGAAAAAAATGAGTACCCTGCTGAGTGTTTCCTTTTTTAAATTGTATTGAACCAAGCGGTTTTTTTTTAAATCATTTGTTTCCAAAAAATAATAATTAATATGAATTAAAGTAATATAAAAAATGATCTTACTTTAAAAACAAAATTTTGTTTTTGAGATTCGATTTTTGCTGTCTAAATGTAAAAAAAATAATTTAATACAAAGTAGATAGTTGTAATCCCTTAGATCATAACCTTCATAAAAAAATGTTTTTTTGGTGAGTTCCCATTTAAAAAAAAAATAATATTTTTGTAAAACTCAATTATAATTCATCAATTAGTTTTTTTGAAAAAATAAATACGTTTTGCTTTTTATTGTTCAAAATTTTGCATATCGATGCAGATTTGACATATATTGGAGCACATTTCTTAATATTTTGTGCATATTTTTGTGAAAATACGTGCATATATATGCGTATATTTTACGATTTTTTCGTGCATATAATCCGAGCCTTAGTGATAACCGTAACACAGAAAAAATATTTGCCAAAAGATCTCAAAACTAGAAACTGAAAGCTTCAAAATGTTTTCTTTTTAATCTTCGATGAGTTTTTCCAAAAATCGCCAAAAAATTTACAAAAATGTTTTGTTCCTTTAATTTTTTGAAGTAGTGTATAATAAATTAAATTTGCAAGGAATACTCCCAAAATATCGAAACGTCGCGATACACTTGAAAAATTGTTTATTTCTCATTTATTTTCTAAAAAAAATTAATAAATATCAATTTTATGACAAATTGGAAAAATTTTTAAGTGAAATTTTGGTCTCAAGTTTGTTATCCCCTATGGTGTATATTATTAATTTTCCAGTGAACCTTATTTGCGTTAATGGTCACAATTTTAATCCGAATATTTCAATGAATGAATTGCCATAACGGTCATTGATATTTTTTTCTGGTTACTCCAATTTTTTGAAACATTTTAAAAAAATGTTAATAAAACACCTCAATTTTGAAACGTCTCGATTGGCATTTTTACTACTAAATTTAAACATTTCCCTAAGAATTTCTCTTCTTTTGAAAATTAAAAAGTCAGTACATTTAACACTTTCTTTTTACTCCAAGCCAAAGTAATCCGAAGTGACCCAAACATTATTTTTTACAATCTAAAAGACACTAATAGTCCGGTCAAATTAGTCATAAAAATAGTGGTCAAATAACGAAAATTCCGACAGAGCTAAATTTTAGTGGAGACCTTGGGTATACCATTAGAAATAAAGTGTCAAAAGTCCCCATCGATCCCATGTGTGCTAGAAAAGTTATTCGGGGTCAAAGGTCAATATTTGACGTTTTTTAGATTTTTTTCGAAAACGGCAAGTTTTATCAAAAAAGTAGCTCAGACGAAAATTATAGATCTTAAAATTATCTACAAAATGGTCTTTATACTTTTTTTCCAAGAATCACCATTCCTGAGATATCGCGATTTTAAAAGTTGAAGGAGTAACGTTCTACATCATATGCACATACAGAGTGCGCCAGAACTCGCGCCCCAAAGACAAATGCCATGTAGGGT